ATTCATTGATTTTCTGACGGTTTTTGGTGAATGTAGGGGTTCTCCTCTTCACGCTCCAAGACGGCGGTCTTCTGGGCGTCCGAAGCAGCCTGGGAGGCTCGAAAATCGCCCCACAACCATCCGAAAGGGCTTCCAGGCAGTCCAAGAGAGCCCCAAGTCAGCACAACAGGGGTGGGTCCAATATGGCCTAAGAGATCCCCATGACGGCTCAAGATGGCCCCACGACACCCTCCGAAGCATTCCAAATCGTGACCCAGTCGTTCCGGAAGACTGCGGTGGGAGGCAGGGTGGCCCGAGGAAGCCCTATAGAGGCCCCCAGAAGACGCCCAGGAGGCCTCCAGAAGGCCTCAAGAAAGCCTGAAAAGCTTTTGTGAGGCCCCCAGAGGCTCTCCAAGGATGAGCCTCCGCAAAAACAGCTGAGCAGGATGGGGAGAATACGGAGGGTATGGCAGGGTATGGCGAGAATGAGGAAAACGACACATGGAGGAATAAAAACGAATCATATTATCATAACGGCGATGCCGGAACAGGCCACAAGGAGTTTCCGCTACATTGTCGGCTTGATGTTCCTGCCATTCTCCCTGCATGCCAAGCTTCAAGGACCAAGGTGCATGGCGCGAAGCTCCAATGCAGTCTTGTACCCCGTCATACAGATATTGTTATTATGGCGACGCGGCCACGCGCTCGGCGGCGCGTCGTAGGACAAGTCAGGCGAGAGCGAGCCGAGCCAGCTCAGTCAGCGTGGACAACACACACACTTGCACACGCACACACACACACACACAGCATACAACAAACAACACACCACACGCACAGCACACACACACACACACTAGCACACATATAAGCACACATACAAGCACACACACACACACACACACTACACGCACAACACGCACACACATGCACACACACATACACACAACACCACTCGCACAGCACACACACACACACACCACGCACACACACACACACACACACACACACACACACACACACACACACACGCACACACACGCAGCACTCACCACCCGCACACAGCACGCGCAACACGTACGCACGCGCGCACGCTCTTCTCGAAGCCCCTCGGGCGACTCGTGCCAGTCGCTGCGCCAAGCGGCCCGCCCAGCGGGAGGAGCTTGCGCCCGCGAGGAAGAAGCCGAAGTCGGATCGCGGTGGCGGCCTCGGCGCAGGGGAGGGGCGCGATGTCTGTTCATGGGCGCCTCGGGGAACAAACAATGACGTAAAGATGAAAACTCTGGGCTCCTCGCGGGTTCCTCGTACCGGCGTTGGGCCCCCCCTGGCGGCGCCTCCAGCTCGGCCCCTGGCGCGCTCCGCGCGCTAGAGAGGGGGGTCCAGCGCAGATCGAGAAATCCGCGCAGATCTCAGAGGGCGTACGTTTATGTCATTATTTGTCCCCCTGGGATCGCGGCGGCGGCCTCGACGCAGGGAAGGGGCTCGATGTCTGTTCATGGGAGCCTTGGGCGGCGACGTTGATACCAGCTCTTCCCGCATGTGGACCGCCTTTGGCCCCTCCTCCTGCTCCTCCTGGTCCTTCTGTTCCTCCTCCCCCCTCCTCGTTTTCCTCGTCTCGCTTGTGAAGGGGCCACTCGGTCCAGATCCGGTCCCACTCCGGTCCATCTCGGGCACACGTCGGTCAGCGCCAGGGGCCGCGGATGCTCCCATGGAACAGGCATCAACGAAGGGGCAGGGACAGGAGCTCCAAGAGGTCCTCCAGGAGGGCCCGAAGAGGCCAAAATCATTGATTTTCCTTAGGTTTTTGAAGGATTTTGGAATTTGCTTCTTCTCGGCATTCAGACGGCTCAAGACGGCCCAAGAGGCCCCCAAGATCGCCCAAGAGGCTGACAGAGAGAGAGAGAGAGAGAGCAGGTCGGAGGAGGCAATGGCACCGACACCGCTGCTCGTCCCAGAGGGTCCTCGTCAGCACGGGCAGGTTTGTCGCGGAATTCTGGCTAGAACGCAGCCCATGAGAGGTCCGTGGAGCAGTCCTCCTCCTCCTCCTCCTCCTCCTCCTCCTCCTCCTCCTCCTCCTCCTCCTCCTCTTGGGCACGCTCGACCTCTCCTCCTCCTCCTCCTGCTCCTCCTCCTCCTCCTCCTCCTCCTCGTTATCTGCACCTGTGTTCTTCCCCAGAAGGGGGTGTTCGGAGGGGGAGGGCGCAGGGACGGAGGGCGCTCACGAAGACCCCGTGCATCGGTCTGAGTCCCTCGATTCTGGAAGTGCCGACGGAACCTGGACACCTTGGAGCATCCCCTCCATGCTGCCCATGCTGTTTGAGTCGGGGTCCCCCCGTGGTTTTCTGCTCCAGGCGCGGCGCTTCTGGGATGCAGAAAAAGCCATCCAGCTGAGGTTCAGACGTGAGCCTGATAGCTGCAAGGCGGGCTTCCTAGTACCAGATGTCGGATTCGCTCCCCGCAGCAGGTCAGCGGCACGCCCCTGGGGGACTCTGTCACACGCTTGTAACCTGGGCTCGTGCCCTCGGATTTGTTGTGCTCGGCATGGCAGACCCTTTGAGCGCCCACAGTGCTCACATTGCGCCCGCCCGAGTCACCGATCCGCACTGAAGCACCCGCGCGAAAACGCGGCCTTTGGGACACACTGGGGAGTTCCCATCGGTAAGCGCCATCGCGGCCGCATCAATTGCGCCAAACCAGCTAGTCGGTGTGCGCAGAAAGCTTCAATCGGAAACCGCCATCATGGCCACATTGGCGTTGTCAAGCAAGGTGCGGCCGGGAGGAAAGGATGTTCGCTTGAGCAGTGGAGCTGACGACTTCAAGACGGTCGAAGCTAACTGCGCCGCATGGGTTGCGCCGTGCATATTGCCACGCCTGGATTGCATCATTCACGGATACCACAACGGACCCACACCAGGCGCGCAATCAGCCAGCAGTTTGCAACCCAACCGAGCAGCCGGTGGAAGAATTCTCCTTCGGCGCAAGCCAACGGGTGTTTCCACGAGGCATCGGCCTTCTGCGTCGTCGCCGATCGACGCGCCGGGCCCTCGAACCGATCGATCCGCTTCGACGTCGGTTCTGGCCAGCCCGACTCGCTGTGATGCCGATGTCCCGGCCACCCGAGGCTGCCCGATGTGTGCACGGCGCTGCTGCGGATCTCGGCGAGACCGATGCAGATCGATCTTGGCTCTGACGCGCATTCCGACCGATCCGACGCCCGTTCCGATCCGATCCGATCACGTGATCCAATGCTGATTGATACTTCCTTCCCAGGAATGCGACGGCCCATTCCTTGTCAATACTGGGCCCCCCGAGGCCCCGACCCCTGCCCGATGGTCGGTTCTTCATCCCGTTTTTTGGGGCGGTCCTGGAGCCCGGCGAGGGCTCCGAGGGGCCGAGAATTGCCAAACATTGTTCGTCGTGTTTTTTGCGCGTCACGACGCGAACATGTTCGGGTCGTCGTCGGCAGATTTCATCGACCGACGACGAGGGCGACGACGATCGGCGAGGGCGGCGGATGCGGCCGGGCGCCACGCCGAGGTGTGCCGCATGCGCTGATGGTCGAGGAGGAACCTGCCCACCGCGGCGCGCGGGGACAAGAGGGGGAGCATGTCGCCGTGGATTGGGCGTGTCCAGAGCCAGCCCTTCTCCTCGCCCCTCCTCCTCCCCCTCCTCCCCCTCCTTCTCCTCCTCCTCCTCCCCCTCCTTGCCCCCTCTGCGCCCCTGGTCGTGCCCCAGGTTTCCGCGGAGGCGTCCCGCCGTTCGCCTGGCCGCCTGGTGGCCCCAACTCGCCGCGGACCAAGACTCAGGAGGGAAAGAAACACACACAGACACAATGAACCCTCGATTCCCCAGAAAATAGGGGAAAATATGGGAAGTGGGGGGGACGACAGAAACCCAGAACATATGCGAAAATAGGGGGAATCTTTTTATTTGTATGTGTTTATGTGTGTGTCCTGGGGCCCCTTCAAACTCCTGCTTCCGAGCCCAGACCTTTTGCGTCGTGGGAAAAAATACGACGGCAGGCTTCTGGCCGCTTTCGGTCCCCATGGGGCCCTCACCAGGCCCCAGAGGCCGTAAAGCCGCTATCGAGAAGCTGGCCGAGCTGGCCTCCGGCGCACCCCTCGTGAGGCCCTGATTCCTACATGGTATGAAAGAAACGCTGGGGACAAATTGTGCTACGCTAGGTTCGCGTCGTGTCGACCGGCAGCGACCCCGCCGCCGACGTTCAACGTTGAACGCCGACGGCGGCCCAGAATCGGTCGATGTTGAACGATCGGACGTTGCGGAGACGGCCGATCGTTCAAGGTTGAACGATCCAGCGCGGTGTCAGGAACCAACGCCAGGGTCGACACGGCACGGACCTGCAGTAGGGACACCACGGGCAACCCCCGAATCGAGAAATGGAGTCCTGGCACTTCTCTCACCTGTCGTCCAGTCAATCACCACCCACCAAACCACCCCAACCCAACCCGAAGGCCCAAATTTATCCTCGATTTCCAGTGGGGGGGGGTCGGGGAACACTGAAAAAACACATGGAATCCGCACCCCCCCCCCAACCCGAAATTCGGCTCAAATTCGGGTCTTCGGGTTGGGTTGGGGTGGTCTGGTAGGTAGTCAACATGGTATGAAAGAAACGCTGGGGACAAGTTGTGCTAGGGACACCACGGGCAACCCCCGAATCGAGAAATGGAGTCCTGGCACTTCTCTCACCTGTCGTCCAGTCAGAAGCCCAGGTTGGACGACCAACCTCAGAGAGGATAGCCTCAAGGAGAGGTGGGCCGACAGCCCCGCCCGAACATTCTCGGTTATCCCCCTCTGCCCTTACGGGACTAGCGCTACACTGTACCCTCATCTTCCGCCCCCCCCGTCCCGTCCTCATGCTCCCCCCCCGTCCCCATCACCGTCCTCATTCTCCTCTACCCTGTCGTCGCCGTCGTCCTCCCCATCCTCCGCCTTCTCCCTCCTTCCTCCACTTCCTTCCCTCGTCCTCCTCCTCCTCATCCGCCAGGAGAACACGGTCCACGATGCCCTCGACAGGCTCCCGCCCACAACTCCGACACGACAGACTTCTGGCGGCCTGGCAGCGCACTTAGATCAACATCAGGTGGAGGTGGACGAGGAACGAGGATGTGGATGAGGATGAGGATGACGAGGAGATGGAGGAGGAGGAGGAGCAGGAGGAGGAGCAGGAGGAGGAGGAGGAGGAGGAGGGAGGGACAACGAGGGGGATGAATGTTTCAGGGCCTTTTCGAGGGCTGTCGATTGGTCTTTGAGTTTCCATGGTGGCTCTACGTAACCAGGGGTGAGGAGGACGAGGTCGGGCATTGTCATGCTAGCCAGGTCAAACGAGACAGCCGGCCTTGGCCATTCCTACGTACCCTCTTCCCTCCTATCACAACAGAATCAATGGTGGCACGGCTGGGCACTGGGTCTAGAACGCGCTCACGCGTTTCCAATTAGCGAACAGTTGGCGAGGGACATACAAGCGCCGGCCACGCACGGGGAGAGCGGAACTTCAGAACATCCTTGCGCGGCGCCGCGGCGAGAGTACCATTTACCCTTCTCTCGGGCGGCAGTATTTCAGATAAGCGCGGCGAACACAACGCATGCGCCGCGCCGGAACAGCACTGCTACCATGACAGATGAAGATGTGAGGCGCTCCTGCCCGCCCCGAGCTGAGGAAGGATCTAAGGTGGAGGAGGGCAGCGGAAGTGTTGACCTCTAGGCCCAGCAGCGACGAGGTGCGGGATTATTGGATTGTGGGCCGCCTCACTTTGTTCCAGTCTGATCCCTTCTTTAGGATTCAAATCCTGGGAGATGAAGTTCTGAATCGGCGCTGGTACTGGTCGAAAACTAGACTAATCCGGCTTTGTCCCGCTTGTTCCGGCTTCTTCCCGCTCAGTGCGTCTGAATCCTGTTCAACTCGGCCAAATCCGATGCCTAACCCCCGCCTTGTCCGGCTCAATGGCCCCTGCACCAGCCTCCCAGGAGTCGCCTCCCAAACTCTGACCCCTCCTCCCTCCTCCCTCCTCCCTCCCTCCTCCCTCCTCCCAGGACCTGCCTCCCAAACTCGGACCCCCCCTCCCTCCTCCCCCTCCGAGCTGGGCCTCCTCCTCCTCGGCCCCGGAGCAGGACGGGGCGTGGGCCTCCGAGGAGAAGATCCGGTCGGAGAATTCGGGCCACGAGGTCTCCGAGAATGGGAGGCGCGCGCGCCCGCCGGCCGCCAGAAGAGAAATTTCCAGCTTCGAACGTATCCCCATCCCTAAGATTGACACGCCAAAAGGCGATGACAATCTGAGGGATTCGCCCTCAAAAAATAAGAGAATCCCTGAGATTGGCATCGTGATGAGAAGGTGCCCAGCATAGGGATAGGGATATGTTCCAGGTTGGTAAAGACATGACGGTGGGACTTTTGAGGCGGGCTATACCGCATGGCGCTTTCGTTCGCACCTCGATGGAGTCTCAAATGCAATGCCGCGGTCTCAGAGGAGTCCCTTGCGCTGGCGTCCCTCTGGGAAGCGCATCCAAGCTTCGCCACAGGACAGCGGGTCCTGAGGGCAACGGGTCCAGAGGTTTTTTACCGTTTTCGGCCTCCTGGGGCCCTCCAACGGGCCCTGAGGCTGTCAGAAAGCAGCTCGGGATAAAGAGCTGGGGGAGGGCCCTCGGGGTCAGGATTTGTCTCCCTCACGGCCCGCTTCCTCTCTGCTCAAAGCTTCTCTTCCCTACTCCTCGAACTCCCTCCTAAGATGTTCGATGTGGGGGCCTTCTGGGAGCACACCTATCTTAGGATGCAACTCATTGGAGATCAAACTCGGCAACGGGTATCGCAAGTGGTGCCGGAAGTGGATACGGTCGGAGGCTCGCGCCGCATCGCCGATGTATTGACGATGCGACTCGATATTCAGTCCGATTTGCTCCACGCCGACGGCGCCGAAGTTAGGATGCAACGCCTGCGAGGTTAAATTCAGAATCGACGCTGGCAGATCCGTGGTCGAAAACAAGCCTAATCCAGCATAGTCCCGATTAATCTAGCTGGATCCCCTTTCACCCAGTTTAGCAATGGGTTTTAATCTGGCCATATTTAGCTTTAGCTGCCTCATACTGCTTTTCAGTATGGCTATAGGCCATAAGTAGCCCTCAGTCGTTCTTACGATTACCTCCCATAATGTGTTTCCTACACCTAACGGATCTGTTTCATCAAGGTTGGCTCAAGTTCGATGACCGACGTTCGATGTAGCGTCGGCGCATGTGTGGAGCGAGTGGTTCCAGGAAGGTCCCCAGAACGATAAGAAGCGACGAATCATACACATGGGCGTAAGCATAAAGCTCTGGAGTTCGAGTCAAGGTTGACTGAAGTTCGACGAACGTTCGACGCAGCACCGACGCACGAGTACAGGGAGTGGTTCCAGGAAGGTTGTCAGAAAGAGAACAAGAAGCTACTAGTGCACATCGGCGCAAGCACGAGTTTCGGAGGTCCGCACGGATTTCTTGGATCCGCGCTGGCTCCCTTGGCGGCGCCTCTGGCGCCGCCCCTGGCGCGCGCACCGCGTGCCCCCCAAAAGGGTCCAGCGCAGATCCACGAAATCAGCGCTGCCCTCCGAATGCTGGCGTGTCTGTAGATTTCTTAGATGTGCCTTCGCTGTTTTTTATCCTCCACCACTCCTCCTCCTCCTCCTTGATCGTTGGGCGTCGTAGTCAGCAGTATCTCGTTCACTCCTCCGCCTTTCTTTTGCCCTCCGCCCCTTCCTTCCTTCCTTCCTCCACCAACTGTTCCAGATGTCCCAGCCTCGGCGGCGCGTAGAACTTCTGTTCTGCTCGCCTGCAGCCAGTATTCGCTGACAGGCTCGATGCCTTATCACCTCGCAAGCCAAATTCGCTTTTCCGACTTACTGTCAAAGGAGCTGTCACAGGAATCGTTGCCTCACGTGGGTAACATTCGGGTGTTGCTAGAAGTACCCTTGGGCCAAGGTGCCCCCAGCTTTTCGCTCCATTTTGGAGAGCCTGGGGCCCTCTGGGCCTCGTGAGGGGTGCTCTAGAGGCCGTCTGGGCCACCCCGAGAATCCTGGCGGCACCTTGGCCCCGGGGCACTTCTAGCAACACCCGAAAAATACCACCTCGACGGGCAGGTAGTTTGTTTTACACCACCACCACCATACGTTGGAAGGGGGGAAGAAGGAGGAGGGCGAGGAGGAGGAGGAGGAGGAGGAGGAGGAGGAGGAGGACGAAGAGGACGAGGAGGAGGAGGATGAGGAGGAGGCCGAGGAGGACCCCCCCTCCGATTTCTGGTGGTGGTGGTGGTGGAAAACACGCCCATCATCGAGCGGTGGGTAAAATGCCACCTCGACGCGCAGGCAGCGGCGGAGCGCGGGGCCTTCGAGGAGGACGGGCGCGGCAGCCCCGCGGCGGACCGCCTGGCTGGGGCGGCGGCCACGGACCGCCGCCCCGCGGCGAGGCTCCTCCTGCGGGCGCGCGGGCTCCAGCGGCGCGCGCTGGCGGTGCTGCAGGCGATGCCCGCTGGGGTCGAACTCGCGGTCCTGAAGGCCAAACAACCATTATGAGCTTGGTTTTTCCACCACCACCACCAGAAGTTGGAGGGGGAAAGGAGGAGGAGGAGGAGGAGGAGGAGGAGGAGGAGGAGGAGGAGACGAGTGGGAGGAGGGGGAGGAGGAGGAGGAGAAGCTCCTCCTCCTCCTCCTCCTCCTCTCCTCCTCCTCCTCCTCCTCCTCCTCCTCCTCCTCCTCCTCCTCACTCCTCGTCCTCCTCCTTCCCCCCTCCAACTTATGGTGGTGGGGGCGGACAACAGGCCCATCACTGAAGGCCAAACCACTAGAGCGCCGGCCCTGGCGCCCAGGCCCCCGCGTGCAGCGGCGCTGGGCAGCGGCACCGGTGTTGTTCGCCGGCAGCGCCTGGGTGGCGCACGTGGCCCCACAGGTGCCCGGATGGGTCGCCAGCCTCCGCTGAGGGTGTTGTGCGCAGCGGTGGCCTTCGCGAGCCGCCCGGGCGGGTGTCGGTCTTCCCGCCGCGCGCCGCCGAGCTGCTGCTCCTGCCGGCGGTGCGCGCGGGTGGCGCCGATGCCGCGTGGCTGGCTGCGCTGCGCAGGCGCTTCATGGAGCGGCCGGGGGCGCCAGACCAATTCACGCATCGGCATATTCGCCGGAGCGTGCGGGCGGGCGCGCTCCTCCCCCCGCTCCCCCCTTCCCCCTCCTCCTCCCCCTCCTCAGCCTCCTCCTCCTCAGCCTCCTCCTCCTCCTCCTCCTCCTCCTCTTCCTCCTCCTCCTCCTTCTCCTCCTCCTCCTCCTCCTCCGTGCGGGGGTTGGCCAGCGTTGGCCATTCTCAAAGCCGACCTACGCGCGAGCGAGGACAGGAGGGATGCCCGGTAAGCAAGGTAGTTGGAAAAGGCTTGGGGTGATTCCCCTTCCTTGAAGACTCCGCCTCCCTCCCCTTCCTCCCCTTCCTGCTCCTCGTCTGCGAGGAGAGAGGGGAGGGGCCGGGGGGAGTTGCCCTCCGCCCCCTCGGCTGCTGCCGCGGCCTGCACCCGGCGCGAGGATTAGCAGCGAGCTCATGCCGCTCCCCCAGGACACCATGGCCAGGTGCTCAGCTTCCGACGGTCCCTGCAGCCATGCACCAAAGGTCACTCTCGTCTAGGGCAACTTGCGTGTAGCCGATGCCGGGATTGAAGGCATCGTAGGGTCGGAGATTTGGGTATGCGGCAGGGTCGCACCGCCTCGACGCGGCGGCGGCGCCGGCGTGGGCGCTCCAGCTCCAGCACCCCTGTCGGGTGTTGCTAGGATTGGTCTGAGGCCAAGGTGCCCCCAGCTTTTCCAGCCACTTTGGAGCCCCTGGGGCCATCTGCGCATCGTGCGGGGTGCCGTGCATTGTCGATTGACCCTCGATCCATACACCTGCTGTTGCCTCGGGGCAGAGCTCTGGGCGCCAGGGGAAGCAGGGTGTGGAGAAGCCAGCGTGGCCCTGGAGGCCAGAGCGTTGTGCATGCCGCCGCTCTTGCCCCTCGTGGGGTCGGGGCGTGAGCGGGTGAATGGACAACGTGCCGATTGCCTACAGCCAAATCGCAGAGCAAGACTGGGCAGCTTTCCAAGGCCAGCACTGCATCATGTCCCCCTCGGCCCATCCTTGGCGACCTTCGCTGGCCAGGGCCCTTGCATCCTTGCCGCGCAGCCTTACTGTACGGCTTGACTGCCGTGAAGGCCGTGGGGGCCTCCTGAGAGATCCTGGCCACCCCCACGGCCTCACGGCAAGAGGAGGAGGAGGAGGAGGAGGAGGAGGAGGAGGAGGAGGAGGAGGAGGAGGAGGAGGAGGAGGAGAAGGAGGAGGAGGAGGAGGAGGGGGGGTCCGTAGCCATTTTGGCTCCAGGGGCCTGCTCCTTAACTTCCAAACCTCGGCTCGAGTAGCCAAGTGTGCTGTGCGGGGGGCCACGGCCTCACCCTTCGGTCGGCGTGCGGGGGCGCGCTATGCCAGCGCATGGTTCTCGGGCTGGGAACTGGTGTTGTGGGGCGTGCGGGTGCAAAGCGAACAAGTACTGGTGGACGTGGTGCAAGCACTGCGGGCGTCGGCGTGCGGGGGCGCGCTATGCCAGCGCATGGTTCTCGGGCTGGGAACTGGTGTTGTGGGGCGTGCGGGTGCAAAGCGAACAAGTACTGGTGGACGTGGTGCAAGCACTGCGGGCGCCAGTGGACAGGAGTCGGGGAGTATCAAGATAACCAGTCGGGTGCCAAGGGAGTGTGGGGTGCACGTCAGTCTGCTCTTCCTGGTGTTGGGGATCTTGTTTCTGCTCCTGGGACTTGGTCGGCATCTAACAGTCTTTCGTCAGGAACTCCAGGGAGTACCAAGGACGAACTCAACTCGGTCATCCAGGTTTTCGAGGCCAATTCAGACTTCGAGGCTGCCAGCAAGTATCGTGAGAAGCTTCGTGCCCTCGAGCAGCCGCCGAAGCTGCAGTGGGGGCCTGCGAAGCAGGAGATGGAGAGGTGCCAGGCCGCTTTGGATCGAGCAGTCAACAGAGCCTCGAGTCTGCAGGAGTCATTGGAGCAAGCGAAGAAGGACAGTGCCGACGCCTTTGTGGCCCTCGAGAGGGCCAAGGAGCAGTACGCCACAGCTGTCAGAGAGCTCGCCTCCACAGTCCAGCAGCCCCAGGAGCCCCAGCAGCCCCCTCAGCCAGCCAAGCCAGTACTATCCATGGAGTCTCTCATGGACGGGTGTCTTGAAGGCGTTCAGTTGGATGACGGCGGCCTTTTTGGGCTGGAGGAGGCGGGATGGGAGCCCTCGGCGGAGGAGGTGGAGGAGGCGAAGAAGAGGAAGGAGCACCTGGCTAAGATCTTTAAGGAGGCAGAGCTGCAGGCTTTTGGGCCCTTTCGGGAGCAGGCCAAGGATGCCATTGACCAGCAAAAAGAACTCAAAGCGAGGCTTGCAGCAAAGAAGCGTCGCACTGAGGAGGGGTTTACAGCTGGCGGTGATGATGGCGATGCTCCTGGGGGCTCTGTGGGTCAGCAGCAGCAGCAGCAGCAGCGTCAGCAGCCAGCTCAGTCAGCCTCAGCAGCCGCAGCAGCAGCAGCAGCACCTCAGCCGGCAGCAGCAGGCAACACCTCTTCCGAGTCGAGCCCTGGGCCTCCCCCCAAGTCCACAGAGGAACTGTGCGCGGCAGCTAAGGCTGCTGCCAGCAAAGGGGGGGCCAAGGGCAGACAGGGAGGTGGAGCAGCGACTGCAGGAGGAGGAGGCAGCAGCGGAGGTTTGGCGCCCACAACCGTGCAGGCGGCTCAGAACACAGGAGTGCGAGGGTAGCAGGGACGGGCTGGCTCGGCCCGATGTGTACACGGTCCTGACGGCCAACACTTCAGATTGGTGTAACTGTCAGAAGTTCTTGGAGAAGGAGGCGGCAGGTGCTGCCGTTGTTTTGTTGCAGGAAGTGGGAGTGCACCCCTCCGGCAAGGATGAGAAGGAGGCTAAGGTTAGGAGCTGGTCGTGGTCAGCCACGTTTAGTCCTAGCCGAATCACTGAGGCGGGGGGGTTATCATCAGGTGTAGGCATTGCTGTTCCAGTTCATGTTGGGATATCTGCCTCTCCGTGGAAAGGGAAGCCCTTGCCATCGGCGCCGAGGATCACGATGGCATGGGTTAACAGTATCATTCCAGGGGGGGTCCTCGCTGTCTCGCTGTACTTGCCTACAGGGGACCCTCTGGGAGATGTCGGTTCGCAGGTCTTGTTTCGATTGGGAGAAGTGCTTCACTCTTTGCGTCTACCGTTCGTGGTTGGCGGTGACTGGAACTGCCCACCTTCGCAGCTCAGAACGTTTGGCTGGGTTAGCAAAGTGGGAGGACATATTGCAGCATGCGGGGAAGCCACGTGCAGGAAAGGACATGTTTGGAGGGAGCTTGACTTTTTCGTGGTCTCGTCTGGTCTAGCTCCATCAATCGAACGAGTTGAACGAGTGCAGGGCTCACGTCTTACACCTCATTACCCAGTTGCCTTGCGGTTGCGATCACATCTTGTACGCACTGAGTATCTGGCGCTGGCAGGTCCCAGGAGGTTCCCAACTCAGGCTCCGCAGTTGCCCATGCCTGCCCCGCCTGACTGGGGGCCCGTTGAGGAGGCTCTTCTTCACTGGGGAGAGGACGCGGCACATCCGAGCGAGCGCTGTGGGCAGGAAGCAATGTATCGAGTTTGCCAGATGTTCTATGATCTCGTGGGGACGGAACTCATGTCGGTCCATGGGCTCCAGGGCCCAGACGAGAGGAAGTATCGCGGTCGGGGGCAAGGCTGGAAGTTGCGCAGGGTGCAGGAGCTGCAGACTTCAGGAGGCCCGCATGCTCTATCTTGTGCTAAGGCTCGTGGGTGGAGGAAGGTCTCGATTAGATTTCAGGAGCTGGCTTGCATTGTTCGTCAGGCGGAAGGTCTTTTCCCACAGCATTGCATGCAGTTGATTTCTAAGATCTTGGGCAGCCGGCCGCCTGGCGAAGAGGTTGACTTCTGGAGACGTTGGTGCCCGTCGTTCGAAGGCATTCTGGCTCTGACAGATGGGCAGTTGGATGAGTATTCGAGCGAGGCAGCCTACTTCGCCTCCTTGCTGGAGCAGGCCTTTGCGAGGGCCCGCTGCGCAGCTTGGAGGAGGTGGGTTGCAGAAGCATGTGAGCACGGAGCGGGAAAAGCCCACCGTTTCACGAAATCGCCCGTGGGATGGAAACCGTCGGCGCCAGGACCTGACGGGGTTCCTATGGGGCTCGGTGAGCAAGTCGAGGCGTTGCAGCATGAGTGGAGTGAGATCTGGGGAGCATCGGCGCCCGTGGAGGACGCGGTCGAGGACTCCGCCGAAGAGAAGCTCGACCCACAGCTCGACCCACTCAAGTGGCTGTCCCTCGTGCTGGAGAGGGAAGGCATCGATCCGCAGGAGGCCGCCAGCATCCCGCCATTTGACTGCCACACCATCCGCAAGGTGGCAAGGACCTTCAAGGAGCGGGCTGCTGTCGGGGCAGACAGGTTGAGCCCTCGTGATCTCGTGTGTTTGTCTGACCGCTGCCTCACAGTCTTGGGCACTGGATGCTTGACACGGCAGACTTCCGTCTCAGGTTTCCTTGATTATGATTGCAATGCTCGAGAAGCCCGAGGGCGGATTTCGGCCCATTGGTCTCCTTTCCACCTTTGTGCGAGTATGGGGGCGCTGTGCCAGATCTGTAGCTCGTGAATGGGAGAATAAGAACAAGCGTGACTTCTTTTATGGAAGCACAGGCATGTCCTGTGAACGCGGGGTCTGGGAGCAGGTCTTTACTGCAGAGCATGCTCGGATTACGAACACTTGTGCAGGCGCGGGCCTCCCCGACTTGTCCAAGGCGCACGAGAGAGTGTTGCATGGACATTTGATCGATGCGACCCAGATGGCGAATTTCCCTTCAGACATCCTACGCTTGTTGCTTTGTGTATACCGCTGCCCTCGTCTTCTCGTGGTTGGCCAGGTCGCATCTGCACCAGTAATGACAGAACAAACGATTGTCGCAGGGTGTACTTTCGCCACGACGCTTCTGGAAATGTCGTTGATCCCCATGTTGGACTGCGTGATGGCCAAATTTCCCTTTGCACGAGTGTACAATGCGGTTGATGACATCACGGTTCGTGTTCGCGGTAGCGGGCAGTTTGTGCGTGACAAGTTGCCTCTCGTCGTCGGATTTACCTGCAGGAAGCTGGAGGAGTTGGACCTTGTTCTGGCCAGGGCTAAGGGCAAAATCGTGTCGACTCACAAAGATGCGGTTCAGAGTTCCGTGAGAGCCCTGGCCAGGTGGGGGTTCACCGGGGCCTCGGTGGAGAGAAATCTTGGAGTGGATTTCACCATGGGAAAGGCCCGAAGGAACCCCGTGCAGAAGGCCCGAGTGGCCAAGCTCAAACGAAGGGCCCACCGGTTCCGAGGGTTGAGATCGTCCTTCAAGAAGTTGACCAGGATCGTGCGCGCAGGTGCCAACGCAGCTGGACTCTACGGGGCCTCGGTCACTGGAGTGTCGGACAGGTCCCTCCAGCAGCTGCGCTCGGTGGCGGGCGAGGCGGTGTTCGGGCAGGCCAAGGGCAGGAGTCGCACGATTGGTTCCATGTT